ATATTGTTTTTCTAAAATGCCCTAAGTAAAAATAAAATAAAATAAAATGCCCTAAGTAGAATACTGTACAAATAAACCTCTTGTTTTCTTCAGCACACTTGAGACCCCTCCGGTGGGTACATAGTCCTAGTTAACCCGTGTGCACTGCTATCCTGGCCCACTGCACAACAACATCATTTTTTTTTTTTTTTAAGATTTTATTTACTTATTTGACAGAGATCACAAGTAGGCAGAGAGGCAGGCAGAGAGAGAGGAGGAAGCAGGCTCTCCGAGGAGCAGAGAGGCTGATGCGGGGCTCTATCCCAGGATCCTGAGATCATGACCTGAGCCGAAGGCAGAGGCTTAACCCACTGAGCCACCCAGGCGCCCCACAACCACATCATTTATTTATGTGTTCCCTTACCGGTTGGCCATCCGCCCCCCCATTAAGTCAATTTTTCCCCTATGTATCAACACAGTAACAACTCTCCTAGCACATGGCTCCTTATGCAAGTGTGAGCTTCTATATATATCCAGTAATGGAATTCCTAAGTCACATGTATGTTTATTTTCTATTTTACTAAATGTCGCCAAATTGCTCTCTAAAGTGGTTCTATCCAATTACAACCAACCAGGACCAGTTCTGGCCTTCTCACACCTCTGCCAACATTCAATATTGTCCGAGGTTTAAAATGTTCACCCTCCTGATAGGCGGTATTTAGTCATCTGCTTTCTCGTGTAGTAACAAGAGGGATACCAGATTATCAAGTCTCTACTTCCCTATCTCTAACTACATCAAAACTCCCAGGGCTACTGCAAACTGTCCATGGTTTTGTCTACTATACCATGACTGGGTAACCCTTTTGCACTCATCGCTGCAAACATGGAAGACACCCGTTGTCTAAAGTTCAATAAATACTAGCTGTAGGTTGATTTCAAAGGCTTGGAAGGAACAGGCTCCTTTCCAGAGACTTTTCAGACTGGATCAGCTAAGCTGGCACCATCATAGCCAGTCTTGGCATCTCCCCCCATCAGGGCCCCTGCCTAATGTTCCAAACATAGCTTGCTAGCGTCAGGAAAGAGAGGCTTAGAGCTCCCCAGGAGCTTTGCCTATGGACAGAAGTCGGGGAGGTCTGTCTCAGAGGCCGCAGGAGGAAATGCAGCCCGGCTCACCCTCCTACGTGCAGACAGGCACAAACCACTGCAGGGGCGGGGCGCCACACTACTTGGCGGCCCCGCCAACCTCCCCTCCGGAGCTCTCCTGGCAGAAGGCTGAAAGGCCCACCAGATGTTGCACACCACCATCCCCTCCACACCCTGGCTCACCTCCCCCGAAACAGCTCCTTTAACAAAAGCCCCAAACAATCACACTATTCATTTATCTAGTCTAAGGCTGGCTCTTGGTGAAAAATCCAAGTCCCCAGAAAGTGTGCTAATATTAAGAACAGTCTTCCTTGAGCTCTATTCCTAGCTGTCCCAGAATTGAGGTTTAAAGTGATGACTCACGGTCCTAGAGGACTTTTTAGAAACTTTTTTCTTTTTTAAAGTAATCTCCATGGGGCTCAAACTCACAACCCCAATCAACAGTTGGATGCTTTACTGAATGAGCCAGCCAGGCGCCCCTCCTCTAAGACCTCTTACCAAGGAAATCATTTCTGTATCTCTCAACATCCTCACATGGGCGACTCACCCCTGCAGTGCGCCAGCTAACTGAGATTTGACTGTGGACGTTTGGAATGATTCAGAAATAAAATGTCAAATGAGTCATTTCCCCCCTACCTTGAGCTCAGTCTTAGCTCTTGGCCAAAATAACACATCCTGACATGCCTTCATACAAGCTGAAGCAAAGTAAATTAGAACCAGGGTAGTGTGAGTTGATAATGCAAGAGCTGCGTTTTTTGTACTTTCTAGCTCGTAAGGCATTTCCTCATTTCTTCTGCCTCAACATTAAGAAACACACAGCTTTAAGAAATAAAATGGCTTTTCCTGTGAACCATCCCCCCTTGAAACATTCAAGGCACAGAAGCAACTCCCACGAGGTGCTAGCTGTTTGGAGTCCCAGCTACCAAATCTGCCAAGTCACTGGCAAATTATTAGAGACCCGATAATGCTTTTTGTTAAGCGATGAATTTAACACTAAAATTATTTACTCCTAATGCAGTGCTTAAAATGGGAGCAGCTATACCAAGGCAGGAAGAGAGACTCATGTCCACTTATTTTGACTCAAGTCCAATAACTCAAAAAGGAGTTTAAAGACTTTTTTTTTCAGTCATTGTTATTCATGACCATGACAGCCCCCCACAAAGCCCCCTCCCCCCAACACAAGCCTCAGGAATGCAGGTGCATGGACTACACGGCCTGGGCACAGGGTTCTGCCACACTGCATCTAAGCTCAGGACAGTAGAAAGAGCTGGGGCACCTCAACAACGATTTTCACTTAACTGAAACCATTTTTAACTTGGGGAAAATGCATGCTTCACTATTTGACTCACTGAATGGAGAGAAGGGACTTTTTAAACCTGTGAAGACCACAGTGCAGTTTCCCACTTACCCAATGAAGAGAATGCTCTCAAAAGCAGATAAGTCGAAAGGCTGAGTCATCTTCCTCTCAGAGGCACCCCCCCCCTTGCCCCCACCTAGTGATGGGTTACATACCCTTCCCCTTAGGATACCTTCCCCACTGCATTTCCCAACAGCATCTTTGGGCAACAGGAGAGTAAATTATTTGCTAACAATGCCACAGAGCAGCAGTCCTCACCTAGGGTATCCTCTGTAGCCCAGGGAGTGGCCACACCCTCAGTCCTGCCAACAGGACACTACCGTCCCTGCCTCCAATCCTAACCTCACACTTACCACCTGGCTAAGCAAATCCTTAAACTCCACCTGGAGCAGGTGGGGACAGCGTTTACAGATCTGAGTTTGGGAGTTGCAAGTTTGTTTCTACTCTCACAGCCCAACACCCAACTGCTGGCATTCTGCCCCTCTTTGTCTAAGGGCCCTGATGCTCAGGAGACCAAAGTGCTGCTGTAGCGAGCGGAGAGCTGCAAGGCAACATTATCAGTGACTCTAAACACTCTACCAGGATCCCTTAAGGGACTGGTTACCAGGAGATGTCTGGTATTTAAAAACCTGACTAAATAGTTAATCCCAAAATTACCTCTTGAGTGTGTCTGGGGATGGCATGGAGAAGATGAGCCCTCATGCTCCATTACAGTTCAAGTAATTGTGCTCAGTGACCAAAGAACACACCTGGAGCCATTTCTTCTGGATATCTCACTAGAGATTCGGCAGTGCAGTGCGGAGAGTTTTCAACATCTATACTTGTAGCTAAGTGTATAGTAACCAATCCTTTTAACAATCCGGAAGAAAATGTTACTCCCAGTTCACACATGGGAAACGCAGGTCCTGGGGAGGCATTCTCTCCACCATTCTTGTATGTTAATGAGTCAAACCCGATTCTAAAAGCCTGTTCATTTCCCAATGCTTCTGACCATCATGCCTTGACCTTAGCTATCAGACTCACATGTACAGGAGAGGATCAATGTCTGGGTTTGAAGAACACGGATAAAAAGCCAAGGAATGCCTTTCCATGACTGGCCTTTTAAACAACTTTCACATTGGAAGGTACTCTTCTGCTTCAAACCCACTGTGTGATGCCACTTTGTGTGGCCTTTCTCCACCACCTTCCTTCCCTCACCCAACAGGAAGCAGTCCCTGCCTCGAAGCACTTACCACTGGTAACTTTTATGTTAGTTCTCTAATGACATTGTTCAATGTTGCGGGCTGTGACTTTTCTAGCCAAGCCCTCTCCCCAAAACAGCTTAGCACACAGAGATTTTATGGAGTGAACGCGGTGCGTGGCGCCAAGTTCTGGACATAATTCTGCCTATAACCTGCTCCCACCCACCCGAGACCTCAGTGGTCTGCGATCCCGGAGCCTATGTTCAGGGAGGTGAGGCTGCACTGGTCCTCCGGAAGGCGGGGCAGGGCGGGTCCCGGGCCGGGACATGCAGGCCCGCCGCGCCTGGAAGGAGCCCCGCGACCCCTTCGGGGCCAGCGCAGCGAATCCGGGGAGGCCTCAAGCAGGAATGCGCCACAGGGACAACCCCCCTTTCCTCCGTGCAGCGGGAAGGCCGAGGGTTACGTAATCTTCCAGCTGCGCCCGGGGCCGCCACTACATCCCTCGGCCGCACGGGAACCGGCCCTGCCCATCCGCACACCACTGCGATTCGGGCGATGAACGCGGGATGCGGGCCCGGGGCTCCGGGACCCACATGCTGCAGAGACCCGGGAGGCGGGGGGTGCAGGCGGACGTGACCAGGACGGAGGGGAGGGGCAAAGACCCGGGCGGAACGAATCAGAGAGCGGAGGAGAGGGATGCGGAGGAGCGGACGTGACCAGAATGGAGGGAGGAGGGGCAGAAGCAGAGCATGAATGGGGGAAGGGGAAGGCATGAGGGGGACAAGGGCGCGGGAAGAGCACACGACGCTGAACGCAGGCGGCACGGGGGAAAGGACCTGAGGACCGGATTTCGAGGAGAGTTTACAAGGAAAGCATCAGAATGAGGGGGTCATGGCCAGGGTGAAGACGGGGAGGGGGAATGGTATAGTTGAAGGGGCCACGGAAGGAGGCGAACAGAGGAGTGGCGGGGTGGAGGGAGGAAATGAAGGACCCGATGAGGAGGGAATACTGAAAGGAAGGCGATGATGAAAGGAAGGCGATGATGGAAGCAGATCGAGGAGAAGGAGTCGGGGATGGGGCGGGAATGGGGGTAAGCACTGCGGCAGGAGAGGGCCGGCTTTGGAAGAAACAGGAGCTGGGAGTCTGGGGACTCTGAAGAGCAGGCCCTAGGCGCGAGCTGCCTTTCTCCACTCTCCCGACCTCAACCGGGTGCAAGATGCCCGGCAGCCTGCGCCGCACCGGGTGTGGGTGTCCTGAGCGCGCAGGCGGCCGGGATTCCGCACTGGCTGGGCGCACGGAGCCCAGGTGGGGACGGATGGCCCGGCCTCTGCCCCGCTCACCTCCGGCGCGGTCCCGCTGGAGCTGCACTGCCACCGCACACCGAAGTAGAAGCTCGCGACGCCCCTCCGCTGTGCGAGAATCGGCCGCGGAGCCCCAAGGTTATCCCGGCTGCGGCCGCCGCAATCCCTCCGCCGCCCCGCCCCGCACCCAATCCTGGCTCCGGGCTCGCCGGGCCCCGCCCCTCCGCGTCCTCGCTGGGCGCAGTCACCTTCAGGAGGAAGTGCCGTGGAGCGCAACGCGCTTTCAGGTTGCCCTTTTGGGGAGGACTATATTCCGTGGCGGAAGGACACATTACATAAAAATCGCAGCCTTGACGCTCTGGAAGGGCCAATGGGGAAGTGGCTAGGCGGCAAGGCCCGCCCCGGGAGCCCCGGAGACCTCCCTCCCAGTCCCGCAGGCGCCGGGGCCACCACCTGTTGCTGCCAACCTAGGAGTGCTGGATGAGGCCTCTTCTCTTGACCCTCGGCCCAGGCAGCCCCAGCTGTCCTGACCTAACCGGACAGTGCCCAGATTTATGGATCTCCGGCAGCATTCCCCCAACCCCGTCCCGCGACTCCCCATCCCTTCGGGTGCCCGCCCCGGCACACACCTCGGAAATTAGGTCGCACAGGAAGTTAGGGAGCCCGAGTTGGGATCAGAAGGTAGGGAGAGATGGAGACTCGTGCGATGGTTGAAGGTCGCCTTCAGAAGGGCTCCAGCATCGGAGCGAGGGGAGAATTATGGAGGGCGGAGTGTGCATGGAGCGGGAGCGCGAGGTCTTTTTATTCTTAGGGCTAGAACAAGGAAGGACAAGTTGGGGCCTGGTGTATACTTTAGTTGGGGTTGGAATCCTGCAGAGCATGCCTGAGAGTAGAAAGTGAATAGAAGGTATTAATATAGAAGGTATTAATATTAGCGCAGAACTATCAGGAAATTTATGTCAGAACGTTACAACCGATGATCTGCAGGAATAGGCACTTTTGTTTTCAACCTTATGTATTTAAATCAATATCGATAGAGCTTTTCTTATTTTTCTCCAAAGTATTTTCCGATTCCTAGTGATTGGTAAACAACCAGTGATTACAGCAGTTATCAATGAAGCAGCTGTTAGCTCTTGCCTTCCTTAAGCCAAGTTTTGAGAACAGATACAATGTTGCCTCATTAAAAATCGTTAAGACTGTTCTCTTAGGGTCTTTCCTTTTCCTGGAAGACCAATGGGTGTGACCTGCTACGCAGACAGCAGCCTTGCAGATGAATCACAGGTCTTTCATTCTTTCCTGTTAGTTCAGATAAGATAGCACAGGAAAGTGACAGCCTAAGAGTAAGTTTCTGTTTGCCATAGAATCCTTCCATTTCTTCTGGAAGGTTTTTCTTGTCCCCTTAGTTGTAGATAGGAAATTGGTTGGCCCTGAGCTAAAGATGAACTAAAAAAAGTGGTGGACAACACTGGGGGGTTGGAGGTGTCAGTGATCTGGCCAGTCCTGGATGATGTTGCATTTAAGTTCTAAGTCTAGATATAGTCGCAAGATTGAAATGCACATGTATAAACTGGAGTCATAAAAAATGCTGTCCATGAAATTCTAGCAGAGACTAATCCAGCATATCCTTGCTCACATTTAGATGCACAGTGAAAATCTGTTACATGGAGTTTAGGGTGACTGTCATTGTTTTGCTGAAAAGCAGCTTAATACACCAGAAAGTTTGGATTCCATCTTAGTTCCAATTCTACTCACTAGCTCTCTGACCAGTTTCTTAAAAGTAAATTGAAGACAATTCCTGCTTCACAGAATGGGATTTGATCAGATGATGTACGTGAATGAGTACTGTACAGTGCCAAGCAGGCTTACCCTTTTTTGGGAGATGACTTTGTGGAGGATGGTCCTCTTGACCAGTGCCAGAACATTCTTCTGAATTCAAGTAACTGTTTGCCCTCTCTCAGTCATCCAGAATCTTCACTCCTTTGACCCAGCAACAAGTGACCCCAAAGCTACCTGAACCTGGGCGGAAGCTGAGGCAGAATACAAACCACCCCCCAGGAGGCTCCTCCCCTACAGCCAGCTATGCCTCCCCTGAAGGCAGCTATGCTCTGACCTGCTAGGATGGGAGGGGAAGCTGCTAGATTCACCGGACTGGGTAAGAGGGTATAGATTGCTGTGTTACCTGTTTGGATTTATGGCCACAGAACCACAGAATCTGGCATCAAATGATCTAATTCTTGAAAGTCATTTGGAGTCCCTGATGGGATAAGTGTGTCAGCAAATGGTATTAGAGCAAAATCCCTGGGGTCCAAAGACGAGCTTTGGCCCTGGTGAAGTGGATGAGCTTTACAGGCCTTATCATTACATGACCTCTGGGCCTCTGAAATGGCAGTGTTATTTCTCTTGCAGGCCAATACAGATTTCCAGGGCAGTCCACTGGCTCTGAATGCCAGATTTAAAGCAGAAGTGCTTATCACTTTGGACTTTATATGCCCTTTCCAGAGCCAGACAAGTAGACGTAATTTATTCTGTGCCTTCCTTCAGACTCCCAAGAGCTCTTTAGGCTCACCATGGTGGCACAAAATCTTAATTCCAGAGCTCCTCCACAGAAAAATCCTGGAAGAGAAAGTTGGGCTTTTCAATTTAGGAATAATGAGAGAACAAGCTGTCTGGGAAGGGGAAGGCTTCATATAGGAAGAGACATGGAAGGTTGGTTAGGATAGAGATGGGTATGGGAAGGCCATTCCAGGGCATAGGAAAGGTAAAGAATGTTTTCTGAATGCAACTGTGTCTAGGTCCCTTCTGAGGAAATGACTCATTAGCACTTAGAAGCAGGAGGGAAGCTTGAGGAGTCCTTGTTCATTCCAGTGGAAGTACTGCCTCAGCCAAAGCGACCCTGTCAGCCTATGTGAGCCACTGCAAGTCTTTCTCTAGCTCTTAACTGTTAGGGCTCACAGGACAGTCTCCCTAAAGTACTTTAATCCTATCTACCACGCCAATCCCATGGAGGCCCTGTGCTCTTTTTTCCCTACAAATAGAGCCACAGCTAGACTGGCTAAGATGCAAGTGGGATTGTAAGCAGACCCCAAGAAAGGCATCGGTGAAGGATGGATTAAGTGACCCTTCCCCAGGAATTCCTCCTGCTGCAATTCAAACTTTTTCCTTGGCACCATACCTACAGTCTTCATCTCCATGCTCACCAGCTACTAGATAACCAGACCCACTAAGGAGACTTTGGTCTCTCTCCTAGATAAAATATTTTTGTAGGAAATGCTTTAACTTAAAGGATGGCATCATTGGCTCCACTGCAGTGCGGAGGGTTAGGGAGGATTCTGAAAGCTCTGTGGAAAGTTCTATACTCCAGAGAGAATGATGCCCCTTCAAATGAATTGGAGCTGACTTTTTATTTCAACCCTTCTGGGGAGGGGCGCTCTGGGGGAAACTGTGTGACCCATAAGGCTTCCTCCCCAACACTCTCAAATTGGTGCCCAGAAGCTGAGATGTCTCCCAAACCTCCATGTCAGAATCCATCCTATGAGAAGCTGTTAAGTAACCCAGTTATGACTCAGCACCAGACTCTTTCCTCCCTCTCCCCACTGGCCAGAATGAAAGGCAGAACCAAGCAGAAGGCTCCTCCCCTATGGATGGCCACATCCTCACCACAAACTGAGTCAGGACCACACCCTGCCTGTATGGAAAATTACCACGAGGAGGAAGAGGAAAGTTAAACTCCAGGGGTTTCCAGAGTTCTCAATCCAGAAATCATAGCCATCTACTCTCCACGTGGAACTAACTGAGGAAGATAGTTCTTTCCCTAGCCCTAGCCCTAATTCAGCATCTCCAGATCTAAATTAAATAAGGCTGCTTGAGCCCAGGACCATATGAAAGATAGGAGACCATTGTTAACCTCTGTGTGCCGTATTTGTACTGGCCTTGGCCTCTGTGAAGGATGATCTCTGGTTCAGACCTGGCTTTCACAGGCCCCACCTCCCCGGTAGGCAGGCCTGGGTCAGAGAAAGAGGCAATCCTCCCTCTACTCCTCCAGGCTGTGGGAGCATTCCTCCCCAGCAACTCAGGGCCCCACTCTGCAAGTTCCCTGCAGTGAAGGCATCACTGTTAGAGAAGTGCCATAGGCTTTAATTAGGTTTGTTTTATACCAAATAGGTTTTTAAATTTTCAGATATGATTAGGTATGGCTTTCAAACTGCTTAGATTCAGAGTCCTGTTGCTTTTATGTGAAACACTATAAAATGGTGTATTTAAGGTCATTACGATTTTATTGGCATAAAAAGACATGTATATCCTGCTTTAAAAAAAAAAAGTGACACCCATGAGACTAGCTCAGATTTTTTTTTTAAAAAGATATTATTTATTTCAATCTCAAGTAGGTGGAGAGGCAGGCAGAGAGAGAGAGAGAGAGAGAGAGAGAGAGAGGAGGAAGCAGGCTCCCTACTGAGCAGAGAGCCCGATGCGGGGCTCGATCCCAGGATCCTGAGATCATGACCTGAGCCGAAGGCAGAGGTTTAACCCACTGAGCCATCCAGGTGCCCCCCAGCTCAGATTTTTGAGTTCTTTCCTGGTCATATAAACTATCTGTGCATTACTTCTCATTCTATCATTTGCTAGTACTTGCTATAGCAGATGCCAGTGAAAAATTATAAGAAATGCTTAAAACTGAGAAAAATCCGATTTCTGAAAATTAAGCAAAAATGTTGTTAAACCACTGGAGTGGCCAAGAACCTAGGCTGAGTTGCTGGAACACCTGTGGGCACAGTTTGAGAAGCTCTGAGGAATTAAAACAATGGTTAAGAGTTCAGGTTCTAGAGTTGGGCAGCTCTGGTTAAAAGTCCAGTACTGCCACTAACCAGCTATGCGACCTCAGACACGTTATTTAAGATCTCTAAAGAAAACCCATCTTCCATTTTTGTTATCAGGACTAAATGAAAAAATGATTTGTGAAGTTTGAGACGCTATCTAGCCTAGAAACAGAACAACAGTTCTGGAGTCAGGTCTCCTGTTAATCACTAGCTATGGAATACGAATGAGCACATCACTTATCCTCTGCACCTCTGTTTTCTTACCTACAAAATGGGAACGCCGGCCCTCCTTCATAGGCTTGTGTGAATTATATTAGTG